AATATATATATATATATGTATATATATATATATATATATATGGGGGAGCACGACTGTGAGGAGCACTACTAATTGCACATATAATGAGTCATATTGGAATGCTTGCCTTGTGCAATTTCGATGAAACAAAGTCTCGATATTCTAGAATGGTTTTCTATTTAAATTAGACCATGGCCTTTCCTTATAATAAACTACCATTCTAATCACTTTACACGCGCTCGCGCGCGCGCGTACACACACACACACATATATATATATATATATATATATATATATATATATATTACTACCTATATAGATATTACTTCCAATGTTATTTTCAGTGGACAGCCGTATTTGAAATAGACGCCTCGTTTTTATTCTAAATAGTGTGTATCACATCTATCGTCCTGCGCGTTGGAGAAATCGTAAATGTGTGTGTCTCTTCTAAAATAAAAATCAAGACTTCCTCACACAGCTGTTGAAGCAAAACAAAACATCCGTACAGAGCATGCAGCTTTTGTAGCCTTGTAGAGATTGCAGCTATTTTTTTAGTTAATCCCATAAAGAACGCATATTTTCTACGAAATTCAGACCGGTAAATGTAATTAATACTGTTTAATCAAAACAGATATTTACTCAAATAAGTTGTATCCATAAAAATAACGTATACACAGAAAATATACTAAAATATTTGTCGGATTAAATCCATTTCATCTAAGATATATATATATATATATATATATATATATATATATATATATATATATATATATATATATATATATATGCCATGGTTAAAGGTGTCAAAGATATAAACTATCACTAATTTCCTTTTTTACAAAATCATAATTTTAAGTGTTTTCTGCGATTATAACCTTTGTTATACAAGATCCCAAAATGAAAATTCTCTCAATTTGATGCTTGAAAATTATATGCCAAATTCGATCCCGGCATGAAGCAATTGGATGTCTAGCCACACTTATGAGCTGGAATGCAGCTAAACAGGGTTGTACGCACACACACACACACACACACACACACACACACACACACACACACACACACACACACACACACATATATATATATATATATATATATATAATTTAAAGAAAAAACAGACCACTTTAAGGTTCCATTAGTTATAGTTTATTTCAGCAGAGATTTTATTTTTCCCTGGATCTTCATACTTTTACATTCAAAGTTAAAAAAAAATAAATTTAAAATTCACATTTTTGAAGGGCAATTTATATATTATATATATATATATATATATATATATATATATATATTTTGTGTGTGTATGTGTGTGTGTGTGATAAAATATAGTTTTAAGGTATGTCATAATCATGGGTAAAAGATATATCGTATGTAAATATAACTATATAAGGGGACAAGCCAAAACACAACACACATGGCCCGAAGATTGCGTTGAAGCATGAAACAGTCGCCTCTTGATGGTGATCTCATTGTCCACTTATATATTATTAAATAAAAAAATCAAACATTAACTTTAATATAATCACATAATCAGGATTCATTTTTTCTTTAATAAGATTTCTCGAATATTTAGGCCGATAGACGAAAATAAATAAATACAAAGTTTAATAAATTAACGGAGTGTCTACTTAAATAAGTGAATACATACATACATATATATATATATATATATATATATATATATATATATATATATATATATATATTATATATTCAAAGATACACACACACACACACATATATATATATATATTACCAGTTTACGATTGGTAGGGATAATTCCAATTATTATACACACACACACACACACATATATATATATATATTTAAACATATATTGTTAAATATAACAGACAATGAATGTTTATTATGTTTAATCATGAACTGTTTTAAACTTCGTATGGTTGCTTTAATTTCTGGTGGAAATAAAGACAAAAATTGCCCAACATTGAGATACAGTGATTTTCTAAGCAAATGATGTGGCACAAGGCCGAAAGTTTGGGGCACTCAGTGAGGATCGAACTCACTTCTCAGTCGTAATTGTTCTAGCAAGACATGCGTGCTAAGCATTACACCACGACGAGGTGCCCAATTAAGCTGAGATATGTAACGTGTGTCTTGAGGCATGTATTATATCCAAAATAATTAGGGGGTGATTTGATTTCAGGATCACAGTTTCTTAAAGGAATGGGAATTTGTAAATAATATTGGTTCTCTGAAATTTGTATCTTGTAGATGAGATATTGTTGTTGACGACGAGGTTAACAGTTTTAAATTATTTTATCAATAAAATCGTCCTTGTTAATGGCTAAACGTATAGTCAAAAGCGCTCGGACATTGTTATAGTGGAACGCACCTATTCTATAGTTAATAGACTCTCCCACCTATAATAAGTAGGAGTAGTAGGAAGTCGTAAGTCGCGCAGTGAGTTGGTCAGTCAGTCGATGCCGGACGACCGTTAGTCGGATATTAAAGTATCAGCCACCACAACTAGATTACTGCGTTATACCTATTATATCAAGTTCCTAACGTTTTGTACGTCGAACCTATTTTAGGACCGACTTAGTACAACTACAAGACTCCACTGTGAAATCACTCCATAACACAGACATGCAGAATATTCGGTCAGTTTCTACATAATTTAGGTTAAAAATGAAGCATTATTAATAATAAAAAAAAGAAAAAGCCAACACTCAATAAGGTCAACTATGAACGCGGTCACAATGTGCTGACCGTGTTTGGAAAATAAAACATTTCAATACTTTTAGATACAAACATAAAACAATCCATGCATTCAGTTGAAAGTAAAAATAAAATCATCCTTGATAATGGCTAAAAGCATAGCCGAAAGCTCCGGGGCATACAGGACATTTGGACAGTTTCTACATATGTCCAGAAAAGGAATTCATAAGAACAAAAGAAAAATTAAATAAAAAGCTTAACCGCAGTAACTTGTCAGGTATATATATATATATATATATATATATATATATATATATATATATATATATATATATATGTGTGTGTGTGTGTGTAGGGGAGATGGATTTTGTCTTTGTTATAAAAACATCTGAAGGAAATTGCATACATAAGTTTGTATACATTTACAAAATAATTGATTGACATTTGTTTATAAACAACTTAGTAGTTCTTTTAAATCTCTTTATATGCATTTTTATAAATATTCTATTTGCATGTAAGACTCCAGATGCATCACGGGAAACATTCTATATGCCATGTCGGCACGATATATATTTTTTAATATTAGAGAAATGTGCTGAGTTTAATGTCAACGGGAAGATTGCATTGCTCCATTGTTCCAAGTGGGGAGTAGGTAGCAAACTTGTTTATCACCCTTGGAATTTTCTGTTTTCTAGACAAAATCCACCGGTCCCATAGGTAAATACGTAACAATCCCAGTCATCTATCTGGCACAAACATTTTTCTTCTCTGTGCCGCGACCGTTCAGAATGCGAACAACTATGTCTCTCCACAATTTCCTATCCCTTGTAGATATTTTAATGTTTGTCTTTTTACCTCTTAGCTCCTGTTCTGTTACACAAGCTTTTTGGTAGGTTGCTTATTGTTTCTTTCCATATCTCTTACCTTTAATATTTCCTGTGAGTTTCAGATTATCCAGGCTTTCTTCCGTCCTGTGTATGACGATAAACCACATCTGCGTCCTGGGTAAGACGATAAACTATGTCCAACAGCAAGGCCTCTGATGAGGAGGTTTTGAGGAGCGTGGAACCACCTCTTAATTGCTGGTGTTCTTAGGTTCACCCTGACCCGGGGTGATAGCACCTGTTAGAGTCCCAGCTATGGGCAAATAGCGAACCCCTAAACAGGGGCCAAAATACTATGAAAATGTAAAAATAGGTTTTATTACCAGTAATACTTTGTAAAAAATTATTACAAGCAATACATTTTTGAAAAAAAAAAAAAAAGATACTACCAGCAATACATTTTTGGGAAATAAATACCGACAATAAAAAATCTTGTCGGCATTAAATAACTCATTGAGGTTCATATGTCGTAAAACAAAATAAACCAAACTAATAAATCAGGCCTTCTTTCCTTGCTATGTGAATTACGAATGTCCACTACGTCTTTCTGATTCTATGGCCTAACGCTCGATTTTTACTTCCATTTTTCTTTAAAAACTTGTGAAATCGTTCATGACATGCTCAACAATAAGGCTGTTTAGATTCATTTGATTTGTCTATGTAGTTACTTAGATATTTACATCTCAAATGATATTAATTTTTAAACACATTGTCTCGTGAATTCTAGAATATTACCAGCCAAATTATGAACAGAGGCAAAGCGTCTGTGCCCGCTATTATAAATGGCCCCAAGGTCATATCGGCAGACAAGGCGAAGCTCTTTGCCCCAATCTTTGCCTCAAACTCATTAGATGACAAAGGCCATCCCCTCCCCAACTTCCCACGTCTCACTGATCACAATCACAGTAATATTAGATTGGTGCAAAAATAATGACGTAATAATGTCGTTTTTTGACGTACTTTTCTACGTCAAAAAACGACATTCTTACGTCATTATTTTTGCACCAACCTAATATATTAATTTCAGCAAGTCTTGAGACTTATCAAAAGACCTGGCGTACTTTATTAGATTGAATGTTTTGTATGCTCCTGACATACACTAACCCCCTATGATGCCTGGTTCTAAAAAGAATCGCATATAATATGGGGATGGCGTACGGGGGATAGATTTAGAAATCTTTTCCAACTACTTTGGCATCTTCATTTTGAGACCCCTTTGGTCTCAGAGATTGACCCTGACCTACATGGGAGATATACTCTGAGTTATACTTAGTTTTATCCTGGCAGCAACGGGCGGAGCCTGTGGAGTATGGACTCGGGGATCGAATATTTTCGGCTAAGCTGCGTATTATCAGTCATATATCTGTATTTAATGTCCGAGTGCTTGACTCTAATCATCAGGATAAACAAATAGCGGATCAGTTTTATTATTACAATCAACCGAATCGCTTGTTAAAGGCCAAAATAAAACGGTGATGACAAGATAAAAAGGTAGCGATTAAAGAGAAGAAGAAGAAAGAAGAAGAAGAAGAAAAACAAAAAGGTAGTAAATAAAGGGAAGAAGAAGAAGAAGAAGAAAAAGGAGAAAGACAAAAAGGTAGCGATTAAAGGAAAGAAAGAAAGAAAGAAAGAAAGAAAGAAAACGAAACAAGAGAGAAACAGGTAGGCAGACATATCAGATGAGAGCGGTAACAGGGCCTAAAAGTGTAGACGAAACGTTCGGGATAAGACAAAGAGAAATATGAGAGTCGAGAAAGAGAAGAGAAAATGACAGCTACATAAATGAAAACGAGGCAGGTTGGGTTGGGGGGAAGAGAGCGGGTAGACAGGATAGTGGGAGACAGATGTGCTCTTTTGTAAATTCGATCAAGTTTAGACCTATTTGATTTCAGGCAGAACGGATTAAAATAGACATACTCAAATATAAATATAAAAAGATGCTCTCTCCATAAGACACTGGCACAGATGGGTTTACGGCCATATCACGTTGGAAAAGCCGGTTCTCGTGCGATTACCGGAGCTAATCAACATCAGACCTAGATGAGTGACCGCTTGGGAATACCAGATACTGTAAGCTTGGGCGTGCGGGTGGTGTAATTGATAACGGCTCGAAATTGGAAATAGGGGAGCATAGTTCCAATTCCGGTCGGATTCGTTATATTGACTTTCGCTAAAATATCCTAGGGAAAGGCATGAATCCAGAGTTTCCCCCCAGCTACGGGTTAATTAGTAGAAGTTTTGTCAGTAAATTATCCCCACCAAAGATCTCTTACAATCTAAAAGCATTTTCTAGTCTTAAATCCGCAAAAGCCTGATAAGTCGTAAAAAACAAGTCAATCAATCAATCAATCAGTCACTGACACACTCACATTAGCGAACAGTAAAAAAAAAAAATCATGCACTCAAATATATGTCACAGACATACTTGCATATAATACAAATATACACGCACTTTAGATGCATAAGCATACCGTTTTATAATGGGGGCTCATCGAATTACAGCAATCTGCTCCCCTTACACCCGGTAAGCTAGCAGATGTAATAAGAGAAGATGTAATAAAAGCTGAATTAAAAATATATCCATTTGATAGCAAACACTTTCGGGAGACATTGGATGGCGCGCGCGAGAGAGAGCGAGAGAGAGAGAGAGAGAGAAAGAGAGAGAGGAAAGAGAGAGAGAGAGAGAGAGAGCGAGAGAGAGTAGGAATATCATATTCCTCCCTAGGGCACAAACACACGACAAGATCTGTTGTTTCACATTTTGGTCAGATTCTGTGAAATATTTCGGACCAAGAACTTTTCAGCATCACAGACACACACTCGCGACTGTACACGCACACAAACACACACTGATATATACATTTTACGGAAATGACGCCAGCCATAAGGCATCCAAGTTTGGTCATGTTATTGTATATGTTACACAGGCCAGTTCAACTCTGGTGAGTTTGCTTACTAAGTGACACGAGTCGTGAACGTGTAAAATTACTCAAAATTGCTTAATACCTAATAGTCGCCATATAGCATTATATATATATATATATATATATGTGTGTGTGTGTGTGTTAGTATGTGTGTGTGCACGCGCGTGCGTGTGTGTGTATGTGCGCGTGCGTGCGTGTGTGTTTAGGCAGCAACTTATCTTTTAGGCATATCTGATTGAACAAATTACAAACATTATATCTGCTTATTTTTACCATAATCGTTTCATATTTTTCGGTGTATTACAGTTAAACAAGACAAGAAATGCACTGTAACAGTGAAAATCACTTATTTTCCAAGTACTTTCCGTCTCTTTCTGAGCTCATCATTATCAAGGGTTCAACTGGTAAGACAAAAGTTATATGTAACTATCCATTACTGATTTTTTTTCGTTTGCGTTTAAATGCAACGGCTTACAGTTGTGCTTTAGCGTTTATGAAAACGTGAAAAGTTATTCATTATGGAATTTTTTCTTTAAATATTAAAGCATGAAAATTGTTCCTTTTATATACATTTTAGAACATTATTACGGTATTCGTAGCTGATTCTATTTAGTGTCGGCTTCAATTTTTAATGCAGATTGCTTCGAGGATCTGTAGGGCAGAGTTGGCCTCCTTGTTTATCAAGAAGGGCCAAGTTCTTGTAGTTAGGGCTAGATTAAAAAGGATGTCCTCCGAGGCAACAAATATGGTTGCTGGATTGCGAACTGAAGAAGTTCGGAGTACTGCAGACTGATATATCACTAGCGTCGCGTTGCCCGATTGGCGTAACGTGACTACAAACGATGGCATATATGAGGCTTTCCGATTTTATTTTCAGGATCTTTTTTTACCCAGTCTGAGCCCGGCTCTGCTCGACACCTGTTTAGCTGACTTAACCTCACTTCGAGGCGACTGGAGCGTTGGGTTGCAAATGTCCGATCACAGAGGAGTAATGGGATGCGTTGAAGTATGCCAGCAGAGACAAGACTCCGCGTATTGATGGTCTCCTCAGTAAGGTGTACTTGAGGCAGTCGCACGTGTTTATCCCTCTTTTGGCACTGGTCTTTAACCATTGGATGAAGAACGGGAATATTTCCGAACGCTTCACCGGAGCAAGAATAAAAACGGAAGGGATGGGATTAATAATTTCAGGCTCTTAAATATGTTGAATACAGAGTTATTTGGTCCAAGGTTTTAGCCAACCGTTTGCAGGCTGTTATGACTAGTCTGATTGGCCCCAAGCATACTTGCACTGTGAAGGATCAGACTATTCAGAACAACCTACATCTGGTACGCTTGATCGTAGAATAAGTCGACAGTGAAGCCGCGCTGATCAATTTAGATCAGTCCAAGGCATTTGATAGGGTTGACCATCGATTTCTCGAGGCTGTCCTCGAGTCGGCTGGCTTCGGGTCGTACCTTCGATCCTGGATTCGTCTCTTGTATCGTTCCCCCGGTACGATGGTAGAGGTGAATGGAGTAAGGTCGAAACCTTTCATTTTGTCAAGATCCATTCGTTAAGGGTGGCCGCTTACTCCGATGCTGTACGTTCTTACGTTGGAACCCTTCCTTCGCATGTTAATGACGAATCCGGTTCTACATGGAATTACTCTCCCCTGGTGCGAACATCCTGGCCAGATATTCCCCCTAAACCGACGACGTGACCGCTTTCGTGAAAAGCAGGGCCGAGATTGACGCGGTCGGCAAGTAAATCAGCAGGTATTAGACGTTAACTGAAGCCAAGATCAACCGCGACAAGATTTCGTACTTGCGATTGGGTAGGCGGAAGGGAGCCTCTCTTCCCAGACTCTTCACTTGGACGGATAAGCATCTCAAGATACTCAGCGTCTGGTTTGGCCCCGACCTCTAGTTGGAGAATAATTGGTTGGAGGTCCGACGAAAGGGTGTCGGAGAAGAGGGGGGCGGAAATTTGTGGCTCGCATATGTACCCCCATCCTTCTTTACCGGCTCTCGGTATTTCCACTCCCGTACGCCGAGCTAATTTTATTGGTTCGGGTCATACTTCTTGTGAAGCGACAGGGTTCCTAAGTTGCGTTGCGAGGTCTGTTGCCTCTACCCATCTGAGGGCAGTCTAGGAATGGTCGACGTGGAGTTTCGTCAATGGACGCTGTGGATCAAGTTCCTGGATCGAATGTGTATGTAAGATAAGGATAACGACCTTTTCTGGAAGGAAGGCGCTAAGAAAGCATTTCCGTCTGTGATAAGGGTGCATGGCGTCGAAGATGAGGCCCGGTGTATTCCACGATCCGAGTGCTCCTTCTATCGCGAGTGTCGATTTGATTTGAAAGACTTCACACGGGTTAAGGAAGACCTCCCCGACATCCGACTGCTACTCGAGATGCTCTAAGGGATGTTCTCGGTTTGACGAATGATAAGTTTCACTCTCTGTAGCTTTAGGCGTCCAGGTGGCAGTGTCTCAATAACGACGAAGCATTACTCACCTGGCTGGTGTTATCTGTATGGGTCGTCAAAAAGCTCTGTGCAGTGGGGCTAGCAGTTACGCCAAAGTGCATGCGCTGCGGTGTAGCGGCTGTGTCCCTGGGGCACATCTTTCAGTATAACGTCGTACGGCCGTTGTGTGCACTGATTTAAGGTTACATGGTTCGCACCCTGGATGGGTGGGAGAGTTTTTTGTCCTATCACGAAACAGTGTCGATATTATCGAAAACCTTTGGTGAAAAGAATTCCCTGTTTTATACACACTGACAATTCATCCACCTTACTAAGGACGAAAGTGAAGATTTTGTCATATAAACTGGTAAAGTCAAAGATGAATTATTCCCAGACATATTTAAATGCCTAATTTTCTTTAAAGGTCTGATATTAAGCAACGATGAATAAATACGCTCTCGAATACTTACAAAACTTGGACAGGATTCAAAGTTAATGTTATGGGGTCCTCCCCTTTTGCATATAAGTGGACTCGACCAGTGTGAACTTGGACTGCTGCCGTTAAATACCCGGAGTCAGTCAGAATATTGAGAGATACGGAGAGATTGATAGAGATTGGGAGAGTGAGCAGAGATTGTAATTGAGTTGGAGCTAGAGTAATAGTGTGAGGTAACCGCTTGTAGAAGTCACAGTTACAAGCACGTAGACTCTAAGGAAGTCCTACTTCGAGACTGACTGTATATATATATATATATATATATATTATTATTATTGCTACTAACGGCCTTCCTGGATTTACTAACAGTATTACCCATTGTATTATTGTGTAAATACATTTAATTTCTTACATTTAATTCTTGCGTTTGTCATTCATTGGAGACCGAACTTCATCTCGGAATCCACAACAGTTAACGATACAGATTGTTGCGGAAAAGTGCCAAAAAATTATCAATTTAAGGCACGATACAGCGAAAATTGAGCAAAATGGCGCGACAGAAATACAAATATTTAGGAAAAAGACAGCATTATCAAATGAAAAAATCCAGAATAAAAACATTGCAAAACTTATTCCATTCTATGACTGCGGTATGCTTCATTTCAGAAAGGACTGTCCATTTAAAACTAAAAAATGTTTTAAGTAAGGAAAAACAGGTCACAAACAAAGCTACTGTAAGTCGAAAAGCAAACGACTTGCACAAATTAACTTGTTGAAAGTAGTATTACCAACTAAAAAACTGGAAACTTCAAATAACAGAAAATTCATGAGAGTACAAATGAATACCGATAGGGTTAGATTTCAATTGGACACTAGTAGTGATATTGCAATTATTGATGAACAAACTTGGAACAGGATTGGCAAGCCTAAATTGAGAAAAACTGACAAAGTTGCAAGAGGAATATCTGGCAAGAAATTAATTTTTCTTGGGGAAAAACACGCGTAACATCACCCTTGCGGGTAAAACTAAAAAAGCAGATGTTTACGTATTAAAAAATTCCAATTCGAATTTACTAGGCGTCGATTGGCTAGAATTATTTGACCTATGGGAATTGGCTGATTAATTCATTCTGTGGGAAAATTGATGACAGCTAAAGAAACACTGAGTAACCTAAAAATAAATTCACGAATATTTTCTCAGAGGAGTTGGGAAATGTACAAAGTCAAAGATTTTTTTTTTAAAAATTAAAGGAAAATGTGAAAATGTCTACTAATATCGAACTGGACAGGTTAGAAATCTGCGGAGATTGAAAAAATAGGTTACTCAGAATGGATGCACGCAAGCGGTTTATATTAGAAAGAAAAATAAGATTCGGTTATATGCAGATTTTTCAACTGGACTGAATGATTCCCTTCTACTACTTGCATATCCCCACCTACCAATTCTAGGGGATATATTTGCCAAATTCAATGGGGTCATTTTTTTAATTGACCTGAGGCAAATCTTCAAATCGAAGTGGATAAGGAATGCCAGAAATTTTTGACTATTAATGCACATAAAGGACTTTACAAGTTCAAAAGATTGCTCTTTGGTGTAAATGTAGCCCCAGGCATTTTACAGAAAATAATCGATTCAATATTGGCTGGACTTGACTGTGTTTTCGCTTACAAAGATTACATACTTAGTAAGAGTGCTCCAAATATATAGCACGTAATACTTATTCAGCAAGTATTTTAGAGACTACATGAGTCTCAGTTTCAAAATCAGTGAACAGAAATGTCAATTCTTTCTGGACAAGATTAAATATTTGGATCAGATAATGCATTGGAACAAGTACCATTAAAGACATGTCCCCCTCCCCCGACAAATCTGGTAACCCTACAATCATTTCTCGGATTAACGAACTATT